CATGTGGCCCTCACAGCTGTATTGTAAGTCCTGGATGATCACTTACATATAAGTCCTTAGGGAGAGGAATCTGAAGCATTTAGAAAGTAACTAAACACTCCAGCCCCCTTTTTCCAAGTTGCTAAAAAGTCATGTTTTAATGTTTATTGCATATACCATTAGTCAAGTAACAAGATCATGGTTTAATTGAGCACTAGCAAAGCTACCCAATGCATATTCCATAGGAGTCAAGGCATAAGTACAATTCTAGGAAATCCTTATCAAGGTGACACATGCAAATATGGATTGATTATTAAAGTGAATAGGTAACAAGGATGATCCCATGCTATACTTGCCTTGATCAAAGTGTTCCTGCTGATCCTGGTTGTCAAAGTAGTATTCTTGATCACCCACGAATCGCTCACCGTCTATACTCGATCAACACAATTCTGAATGGATCAAATCGGAGTTAAAACAAAGTTTTTTTGAGCAAAACAAAATCAGTGGCAAATATGTAAATAGAGAAAACGTATTTTGAATCTACTAAAAAGAAACTATGCTTTTCTGAATAAGGAAACGTATTCTGGAATTATGCTATGGATTGCGGGTTTATACATAAAAAAATTGCAGGTGCTCTTTTGCAAATAAACCAGGCGAAGGGGTATGGTAAGATCTGGACCGTTGGATCTAAGTTGGATGGCTGGGATTACATGGAAGGATAAAGAGAGAGACGTCGGCGATCGGATTTGAACGTCGGCGCGGCGATCCCCCATCATCAGTGGCGAGAAGCATCCCATCCAAGGTCACATGTGTTGTGTGGGTGGGGTGGAAAGGTACATGCGAGGCAATGCATGGGGTCTTGGGTTCGAGGCCCGTGAGGCACAGGGGTGGGAGGCATTAGCCTCGGAAGACCTTTAGTCTCGGTTCAAGTCAACTAGGACTAAAGGGTTCCTACGGTTGGAAAACTGGGACTAAAGGCATTTTCCAACCGGGATTAAAGCCATGATGTGTACTAGTGAGTAGATAAGTTTTAATGTTATAAGAAATTGTCATGTTTTAATAGTTAAGTTTATAGATCTTCTGATTTTAAGGTTCACCGGCAAACGTGCAGTTGCACAGAACCCAATGCATCTTCGAATCAACCTCCATATCATTGCTTGGAGCGAGTTGTTTTAAGTCATATGACCATGGGTCATGAATCTAGAACACATATATATGGAGGCCACGAGGGCAATTCAAGAAGTAATAAAAGAAAAACCAAACAGGATGAAAGAAATCCTTTCCCTTTTCATATTAGGTATATAGATATAGATATACAAATGATTTAGGCATCGTGTGAGCCAATCATTCTACAACTCAATATTTCTATGTTGCCATATGATTTTGGGTGCATATAGACTAGAAGACAAATTCCTAGAAATTGCCTTTATAGTGTATATGCACCAAAAATTTGTTCTTTTCGTATGAATTTTTTTAGATGGAGGTAGAATCTCAAATTTGATGGCAATGTACATCTATAGATGCTGAATGTGTATCATTTCATTTGTTTTTGAAAATTCGTTAATATGTTTTAAGGGGGTTTTCATGGTCCCACCGAAGAGGTGTTTACACCAAATATTCTCCAAATAACTGAGTATGCTAAAGCAAAACAATAAGATAGGCCTACATTTCACTTGTTCTATCGTTTTTCATCCTAATTCATATGATGCTGGCTATTTGTTCTCTAGCTTATAGCAGAGGATATGTTCTAATTCATCTCTGAGTAACAGCAAAAATAGTATCTACTAGTAAAAACATCTTTGAGGGTAAATAGTTTAGCCCAATGATAAGAAAAGGGACAAACTGTTTAACTAATATTATTTTAGGCCATCACGAGCTTTTACCATTCACTATGACCAAAATGAGATTTTAGAGAAGTCCATTTTTGACCATCCAACTATTAAAACTATTCATATTTATCAATCTAGTTGTTTTGACATGTGATTTTGCTTATGTGAATGACACGTTTTCGTCCTCAATGCGCTACGTAACACCATCGCCAACATGAGGCCTAAACTACACCGCCATGCATCTTCAAATTTGATCACAACACTATTGTTTGCCATTCATCATTTGACGTCATTACAATACTAAAAAAATAGAATCAAAAGTTGAATATGGTAATGGTAAAAAATGGTCATAAACGATACCATTATTATGGTCAAGTGGCATGAGCTTCAGCAATTGATGGTCATAGCTACCTTTTTCTAGTAGCCCATGGTTTATTTCAGTTAGAGTTTGTTGACATCTAGAAGTGACTTTTTGAGAAGCTTCAGACTGCCATAGGATCTCCCCTGGCATTGTGATATCCACATATGTAGGCAAGGGCATTATATTGATACTGTGTCGATGCCATACCCTCGGGTATCCCGACTTCCATATTGCTGACTACCGACTCCAAACCAGAGATGACCCAAGGCTTACGACGACCCTATTCAAGGAAGGATATCTCCGGATCGCGCTAGACTCCGACTAGGGCACGACTTCTTAGCTTGTAGGGCAAGTTGATCCGGATATAAATAGCTAGCAATTCTCCCTGTTGTAATCATCCAATCTCATAGGCATAGCAACATTGTAAACACAATCTCACCGAATACAAGCAATACAAGAGTAGCAACTGGACGTATGACTTTTACACGCTTCTCGGGGTCCCAACCAGTATAAATCTCGTCTCCATCTGTGATTGTTCTTGGCATCAAGCAGGGTTCCCCAAGAACCAAATATCTGCCGGTAAAAAACACTGACAAGTATCAATAGGGTGCACTACATGTATAGCCTACAACTAGCAACACTATGAGTATAAAGTGAAAAATGGGGGCCAGTGCATGAGGCATTTAGTGAAAAACTTCCAAAAGAGGTATAAAGGGATTATCTTCAAGAAGCACTTGTGGCTTGCGATGCACGTATAGCGTACAACAAGCAACACTATGAGTATCACTACAACATCATGTAGAAGGCATCGCAAAATGCAATCAAGTGGGTAGAGGAGAATCGCTAACATTTGTGGAACAACATAGGTTCTCACCTGCAAGCAGGTGTGACTATGCAAATAATATCGCATAGATCTTCAATATATGGATTAGGAAGAAGAAGGCATAGACAGTCATTCCACTGATGGACAAAATTAGGCAGATGATCTTGGAGAAGCAAGACATCAGAATGGAAGTTAGCCAGCAAGATGACTAACAAGATCCTTCCTCGCATTACATGGGAACTCAATGCTAAGACTAGAAATCTGAAGTGTGTCATCCTTGAGGGATGCAACAACATTGCTGAGATTCAAGGCACAACTAAAGAGTTGAAGAATGGAGGCACATCATTGATCTAGATAACATGACATGTAGTTGCAATAGGTGGTACATCACTTGGATCCCATGACTCATGCCGTTTACCTCATTAATTCACTAAGTAACAGAAGTGTAGAGGACTATGTTGATGAGTACTAATGTTTTGACATATTTAAGAAGGCTTATGCAGGAGTTGTGGTGCCCATGATAGATAGGACCCAATGGCCCAAGGTGAACATGGGATTCAAATTGTGGTCACCTGTCCTTAAGAGTTGTGCTAGTAGACCAAGGTCAAGAATGATCAGGGGTCTAGAAGGAGGGAAAGCAACTAGGAGGAAAATGCAGTGTAAGAGGTGTGGCGATTTTGTGCAAAGTTTATGACTCTGATACACCACTTGATCCAAAGGGTGTGAGAAGGAAAAGACTGCAATAAGTACCTCAATTCAGCAGTCCCAGATTAGATGGTGCTCTAGAGCCATTGCATCACCACTGCTAATGAACAATCCTACAACCAACTATTGAGCTTCAAAAGGAAAATATGGTAAAGAAGATGAAGGTGAAGACCAAGAAAGGTAAGAACAAGCTGTTCCATTCCAAGGAATTGAGCAAGAAGGTCAAGAAGCAGTTCCTCATGGATGTGTTTGCTAAGTGAAAGACTTGTTACACTATGTATGCTTTTGGACCCATTTGTGTGACATAATTATGCTCTTAAGACTTGTTTGTGACATGCTTGTATTTATTGCAAGATGAAGTTTTGAAAAATGAAGAACAAATCGATTACATAATTATTTATCCAAACCACCAACGATATCTATAGTGTGACACATTTGCACTCACATTTATCTTATCACAAATATTTTTTTGCATTTACATCTTTTATGTTAGGAATACCCAACTTAAAAATCCTGGCTCCACCACTACGTGGGAGAGAGTCTTCGGGCAAGTATCATTCACAGTGTGTCGAACCGTGCCACGTTGGTCGAGCCAAGGGTAAAAACATTCATTCACTGTTGTTTCTCTCTTATGAAACGTTGAAATGATCATTTTATTGACTGTGCTGTTTGCATACTCGATCAATTTGAGTCATTGACGGTGTGCAATGGCGAGTATCACAAATTTTTTATGCTTGTAAGCAAACTTTGCCTTCTTTTTTAGACCAAATGATTACTCCCTCCATGTTTCTAAAGGAAGTCATTTTGAAGTTGTCTTAAGTCAAATATTTTCAATTTTGATCGTAAATTATTTTAGGTTGAGCTTGAAAATATGAAAGTGATGTAAGTAGATTCATCTCGAAATGTAGTTTTATAAAAGTATATATTGACTATATTTTATAGATATTTTATAACAAAAAGTAGCGGTCAAAATTATTTTTGGAAACCGTGCCGATGTCAAAAATGACTTTCTTTAGGACATGGAGGAGGGATATGCTATTGCTACTCACTTTTTGTTTACAGTGGGACTATGAACCACCAATCCGTGTCAGTTGTTACAACATATTTTTGTATGAACAAGTGTACTATTTTTCCCGCTCTATTATTATATATGAAGTGTCCACTAACAATATATAATGGGCACATGGACTCTTACATGTCTATAAATCTACTAGGTCAGAGCAAACAGAAAATATAATCGGAAACGATGGAGATGGGCACGGTTGTGGGTGCCATGGAGGAGTGAAGCTTCACCTTCCTGGCCATGGCCGTGGGGTTCCTAGTGCTTGTGTATTTGTACGAGCCGTACTGGAAGGTGCGCCACGTGCCCGGGCCCGTGCCGCTGCCGTTCATCGGCCACCTCCACCTGCTGGCGAAGCACGGCCTGGACGTCTTCACTGTGCTCGCCAAGAAGCACGGGCCTATCTTCAGGTGATCCTCCTCCTCCCCCTCCCAATCCTCTGCTGCTTCTGCTTGAACGTCGTCGCTCGCTGCATTTCAGAAGTTCAGGGTGCTTATTTTGTGGTGAGTTAATTTGCGGTGAAAAGTCAAAAGTTTTCTTCCCTCGAGAGTCGAGATGATAGTTTTGAAGATTTGGTCGATTATTTTTTGTTTGAAACGAATCAGGAGAGCTGCCGATTATATTAAAAAGAAGATAAGCCCAAAATGGACACAACGAAATAACAATGGCCAACAACCACGTCGCAAAACAAACTCAACAAAAGAAAAAGAAAAATAACTCTAACTCTAGCCGGTCGGATTGAGACATCAACACGAGCTACACTCAGCAACTGTCAGTTGGATTGAGACATCAACACGGGCACACCAACTCCACTCAACTCCAATCAGTTCCCCACGCCGCACCCCCACAAACCAAGAGTAGAGCCGACAAGTAGCCCTCACCGCAAGCGCCATCGTTACCGACGATGTCCCACGCCAACCAGTCGTTGCCATGCAGAACTAGCCGCCGCAGTCCGCTGCAAGCCGTGTAGATGTCAACTTGTCAAAGGCAAATAGTTTTGATTCCATCAGCCTGCAGATTTCACATGGGAAGGCAGCCATTGATCATCGTAGCCGACGCAGAGCTCTGCAAGGAGGTGGGCATCAAGAAGTTCAAGAGCATGCCTAACCGGAGCTTGCCTTCGCCCGTCGCCAATTCTCCAATACACCGGAAAGGCCTCTTCGCTACAAGGTAGCAAAATCAATTCAAAGGAAAATACATCTATGAGGATCTTTCATTCACTGAAAACTGAAGTTCAAATCCAATTTGGTCGTGTATATTATAGTCAAGGTGCGCGTGTGTCTGCAGGGATTCGAGGTGGTCAGCGATGCGAAACGTTATCGTCTCGATCTACCAGCCGTCGCACCTCGCCGGGCTGATCCCGACCATGGAGTCGTGCGTCGAGCGCGCTGCGACGACGAACCTCGACGACGGCGAGGAGGTCGTCTTCTCCAAGCTGGCGCTGAGCCTCACCACTGACGTCATCGGGCAAGCGGCGTTCGGCGCGGACTTTGGCCTCTCGGGAAAGCCGGTGGTGCCCGACGACGATGATACGAACGGTTCAATTGATAAGAAAACACTAATACGACCTCCTTTTGCTTGTCACATTAGACTTGACCCCTTTATGATTTCGTCCAAGCTCTACCACTAAGTCCTAGAGCAATTCCCTTATGAACATGCTTAAAATAATGATATGCATAATGACACCTGTAGTTTTAGCATTAGTTCTTGGCTCATCAACAAAACTGTAAGTCCATGAAGATTTTTCTCGGTCTAAACCTAGCCCAAACTATATTTTAATTATTTTTCAACTAAAAATGAGCATGCCACCTAGGTCCGAGCTTAGGTCAAGCTTGCCCCAAAAATAAAGGCCCCACTTTGGCCACTAGATATTATTGTACATGAAAGTTCAGCCCAAAAAATCCTAGGATTTTTTTTTTGCCCTTGTCTTGTCCCGCAAAATGCTTAGGCAGGTTGATTCCTCGCCTCCCATGTGCTTCCTGGCTCCAGAAGAGAGGTCGAACCCATCCTCAATCTTTGCCTCTCTATTTTGCCGTGCCACTCATGATTGTCGCCGTTGGTGTGGTAGGGATGGCAATCCTACCCACAGGTACGGGCATGTCGCTTCACCATTAGTGCTTAAAATACAAAGGATTCCATCTATTCTATTGATAATCCAACTTGTGGCTCTAGGTACCTGTAGGTATCGATCATATCTAATGGGTGCGGGTATAAGTGAAAATGTTACCTGCGGGTACAAGTGCAGGTATGAAATTGTACTTGTTAGATAATTCATCGCATGCAGATATTTACTCCACATGCACTTTACCCAACCTGCTGCCATCCCCAGCTCGTGAAAACGTAAAAGGATTGGTGCATACTGAATGCACACAACATCCATACATACACAGCTTCGATGTGCGGCACGTGTCCACCAACAAGCATCCAACGCATGCAGCCCGCAAACCACGGACGAGAGAGCCTGGAGGCCGGAGCCGAGCGCATGAGAGGTAAGCAGGTGCGCGTTGTTGGATTGGTCAAACCGGATATGTGGTAACTATTTATGGCATGTATGCATGGAAGCACGGTGTATCCAGTATACATCGAATTTTTTCCAATACGGAAAAATCAATTTTGAAATTTAATAAGAAAACTTCATGGCGGATTAGCTAGGTGTGGAACTTCCACACTTTTGTCGAACTTCGGCACTTTTGCAGAACTTCCACACTACTACATAAGTTAAGCACAAACAAGGAATAACTTCCACTGTCTTCGTTCAAAATTATAAGATATTTTGTCTTTTCTAGATACATAGTTTTTTCTATGCACTTTATACACTGTCAAGGTATATAGTTAAAACAATATATATCTAAAAGAGTCCAAATGTATTGTGATTTGAAACGAAGAAGTAGTTTTCATTCTGGTTCTTTTACATGATTTTGTTACATGCAACCAACGGCCATGTTTTTTTTACTAGTTACCATCCAACGGGCCATGTGTGCTTTACTAGATTTTGTCAACTGGGCACGGCAACTTGGGCTGCCTAAGCTCACTTGAATTATTATTTTTTTGAGAAACCGGGGATATATATTACATAGACTTCTTAAAGTTTACATTCCACATCTTACAAAGACACACATGAAGAAAACAAAAATTGCAGCTCAGTCCTTGCAAGATCCTCCTGGTCGTCCTCGTCGCCGGCGATCGGAGCAGCCAAGTGCAGCTTGAAGCCGACCTCCTTACGGACGATGGAACTTCACAATTTTTTTGATGCCACCAAGAGCCACACGCCGAAAACATCGACATGTTGTATACTCACTGAACGCCCTGGCTGAAGAAGATGGCCACCGGCCATCACATCGCCGAGAGACAAGGGATCTAGCGCCTCAAAGGCCGCCAGCAGCCCCGACTCACCGGAGAACGACACAACCCGAAGGGGAACAAAACCACCAAAGAAGATGGGAACTAGACCCCAACCCGGTTTCTCAGCGAGTTGGTAAACAAACCCTAGCCAGGGGAGAAGAACAGGCCCCATCCCAACCGCGCATAGGATAAGCAAAAGGTACCTCGAATCCGCAGCAGCAATGACACCGGAGGTCACCATCGATGGCGACCAAGCTGAAACCGACGCCATCTCCGCGGATGACAGGTACGGAGATGGAATCGGCATCAACAACACCACCGATGCGGAGAACACAAACCCTAACCTAACTAAACAAACGCTAATAGGAGAGGATATGTACAACGGCCGTCGATTCCACGGCCCCTCTCCTCCTCCGGCACCGAAGCGGCCACCGGAGGCGAGAAGGGACCAGCGAAATCGATGCCGGAAGCAGAATCGCCTGTGAGTCGCCCTGTTTTACTGTATCGGGGGAACGAAAGGTTGAGAATTTGTCACCGAATTGCATGTGAGCTGGATCATAGGCCCACCTCCATAAACCTTTGACACTATTGGTCGCAGTAGTTGCTGTGTGAATGTTCTCTGTTTGCGAGAACTCAGTATGAGGTTTGTTTTCCTTTTTTTCTAACTGCGAGAACTCATCAGTATCCTTGCGGAATTTTGCACATTCAGATGAACAATGTTAAGCTGAACTTATTAGCATGGTATATCAGTTTTTAGGCAGTAAAAGTTTTTTTCCCTTAAAAAATCAAACTTGATTTATTAGGTGGTTTTGAATAGGTAGCAGTGATGCACAAATAGAAAGGTGTATTTACCATTGACATTCAAATACATTTGTTAATTGACTCACACCCTCCCAATCCTATCAGTTAGCTAGATACACATGAATTTTGTTACCACCAGTTACTGTTACTCGATGCTATTACTGACGAACACACACACACAACGGCACACCAGGACGGAACAGGGTCATGCAAATGCAACGCAGCAGTAGGCTATCATCAACCGTGTAAAGTCCTGTGGTGGGTGTCACAAGTCACAACCTTGTGAGAACCACCCCGATCTGCACGCTCTTGACATCCTCCCGCTCCATGGACTCGGTGACCAGCTCCGTGTACCTGTGGAACAGCGCGTCCACGATGTCCGGCCCGAAGTGGTGGCTGAGCATGGACTCCTGGATGGCCCTGATCGCCATGGACACCGTCCGGCCGTCCTCCTTGGCGTCGCCGCTGCTGCTCAGGTTGATCTCGTACGTCTGCACGTGGTCCAGCCGGAACGAGCCCTCCCGCCGCACCTCCTCCTCCACCTCGTGGATCGACGGCGCGTAGAACGGCACGTTGTACGCGTCCACCTTCTCCTGCTCGACCAGCCCCTGTGAGACAAGCGCGGCGAAGGACTCGGAGAGGAGCTCCCAGAGGAAGGTGGTCCGCCGGTCGATGTACCCTTCGGTCTGCCTGCCAAGCATGGCGAGCACCATCCGGCCGCCGGAAACGACCTCGGCGGCGCGTGACCTGAGGAACAGGCCGAAGTCTCTCTGGAACTGCCTCAGGTAGGCCAGCGGCACGGCGACAGGGCTGGTGCTCGATATGTACATCTTGCCCTTGTTGATCGGCGTGTCGTCCATGTCGTCGAAGAGCCCCGGAGGGACCTGCGAGAGCCAGTGCAGGCTGGAGCAGGAGCAGATGAAGTGCACGCTGTTCCTGGGGAACAGCCTCCCGTAGAAGGACCCCGGGACCCCGGACAGGAACACCATCGGCCGGCCCCACTCGTCGGTCTTGGCGGCGGCCTTGAGCCGGTCGGTGAACTCCGGCAGGCTGAAGAAGATGGTGTTGAAGTCGTTGGTGGGGAGGTCGTTGAGCAGCACCGAGAACTCGGGCGGCGGCTGCGACGACGACCGGCTGCACACCCGGCCGATGCTCCGCACGATGTCATCCACCAGGCACAGCGCGTTCGGGCCCGAGGAGCAGCCGAGGTCGGCCACCGTGAACCTCTCCGGCATCTGCGAGATGTACACGTCCGTCGCGGCGTTGGTGATGAGGCTCTTCAGCGTGTCCATGCCTCGCTTCTGTAAGAAGAAACATGCATACATACATACGGTGGTCGTGTGTGTTCAGACTAGTTCAGAGTTGTGATGAAGAATCTGATGGAAAAAAATGGGCGCCTTCCGGCTGAAAGGCCATTCGATCGGTCACCTGAAGCGAGGAGTTCTGCGCGTAGCTGGTCTCGCCGAGTCCCTCCTTCATGTGGAGGATGGTCTCCACGTCCAAGAACGGGAGCTTGTCGGAGCAGTGGAGCAGTGAGGACGCCATTGCCTTGCCTTTCGCTCACTACTAGCAGCCCCAATGCCTTCTCCCTGTGGCAATGTAATGCAGTACATATATATTCAGGACTCTGCTTTTGCACATTACTCGGCACAAAATTAAAATTAAAATACTGTCTAGGCCCGTTGCTTCTTTCGCATTTCTTTTGGCAGCAAAAGAGCTAGGACATATCTAGCTACTGGACAGCTACTTACTTGTGACACGTTATGTGTAAAAAAAAATCTAAGTTCGTAAAAAAGAGTTCTTCAGACTAGTCTGATGGGCATCTATTCAGGACGCTTTATGCAAACTATTAGTGATATGTCTAACTGATCTCCTCTGATTTCTTTTCTTTTTTTTTGGCTCAGTTAGTCTGGTGTGATAAGTGACTGAGAATCAGGTTTCAGATAAAGTACAGGCTTTAAGGACATTGGCTTGGATTCGCCAATATCATATCATGTACGGCGGCAAATTTGGAAAAGGAAACAGAGTGAGAGCGCGAGAGCCGGCACTGCACAGGAGATGAAACTGAAAGGTGCTGCCAGATTCTACCATTGCTGCCTGCAAACCTATCCATGCGAGGTGTGGTTTCCTCTCAAAAAGAGAGAGAACTTTCCCTCGATAACCAGTGGCTGGAAACCTGAGTCAACTATTAGGATAACAGGACTTTGTGTGCTTGCTGTACCTTGGATACTGATGATACTCCTAACATGCATATGGTTGCAACTTGCAAGTTGCGACACACACACGCACACACACTGCAGAACAGGCGAAACAGGAGTATCGATCATCAGTATCAACAGGCTGTCGGGTGCTTCCTCCCATTATTGCACTAAAGAAAGAGGCAAACAATGCACAAAATCCTAAAAGCACACACCAGAACAATGCTAGTATCTGCTGGAGTGCTGGTTGTTGCACTGCCAGGATCGATGGCATATGCCCATGCCCCGCGGATATGAGAAACCATGCATTTCAGAGACAGACGACGCATCAATTCAGCAGACTTGGTTGTGAGGAACGAACTTACCTTGATACTTTCAGAGTCGTTTCGTCAGACGGTATGCTGTGGACGGTCGTTGCTCGATCTAGCTGTTAGGCTACAGCTGCCCTCGCTCGGTTAGCAGCAGAGAAGAAGCTAGGTAGGCCCCCGCCCTTGGTTGGTGTGTGCAGTGCTTGCTGCCCGGGGTATTTATAGGCAGGCAAATGGAATCAGAACAGTCTCAGTTTGCGACTTCCTCGAGCAGTGGCCGGGGCCGCCGTCCCCCACTTGCTCTAGCCAACTGTGCGCATCGCACGACCACCACGCTCGATCGCCTGTTGGCTGTTGCTCTTGCTCCACTCCACGCCGTTCGCTAGCTTACGGTTATGGAGCGGAGAAAATATCAGAAACCGTCTCGACTCACTTCACTGCCTGCCTGCCCACGATTTGTCTCATCAGATTCTGATAGGATAGTTCGGTTTTTCTAAACCTTATGAATCTATTATTATTCTATTCCTTAAATTTGGTGAGATGACTACAATCATTTTAGTACTGCTACTTCATTGTTAGCTCGTGAGGAACGAAGTTGCGGTTGATCATTTTAGTGCCTGATCAGAAGCCAAGCAAATAAGCAGATTTCTCAAACCAAACAAACTATAATTAATTAATTAATAATTGTTTATGCGTGCAAGATGGAAGAGGGAATTGATACGATGCGATACGCCGACACGCAGCTAGTTGCTGTCACGGCGCGCGTTCTGGAGCATTTGTTTGATTGATGCATACTCCATGCTACTACAATATGCTTGTGGACGAAACAAAGAAGAGAGATTGACTCTGTGATGTCTGTTAGTTAAGTCGCGAAAGTGTCCGCATCCGGCGGCGCGTGCGGCGCGAGGAAAATATTCGGTGCCCACGCGCGAGTTCGTGGCGTATCGCGGCGGGACAGGTAGCCGTGGAGTGGAGCTCGCTGGACCGTCGCCGACGCCAGCCAGCCGCTTTTATCTCTCTCTCTCTCTCTCTCTCGGCTTTTCCTTCCTCATCCGATGGATCGGTGCGGTGGTGGAGCCGGAGCCGGGGGCCGGACAGAGAGACAGCGAGCGGCCGGTACTCCAGCCCGGTCCCTCCCCCCTCCCCCTTCCTTTCCGCTTCCATTGGCTGGCCCTGGTTGCGCCTCGCTCGCGCCAGAGAACCCAAAGGACGACAGATTTTCGCCCAGACGCAGGTGCGTTGCAGGCGTACGTGACGTCCGTCCGCGGGTACATTCCCCAGCGGCCGGCCCCCGGGTGCCTAACTTGCGTGTCAACGGCGCCCCGAATGTGCTGGGCTGCTTGCTTGCTGGTGACTAATTGGCGACACAATCTGTGAGGCGCAGAGCCCTCGAAAAAGAGCGCTAGCTAGCTGCTAGTGCATGCTAGATAGCGTAGACTCGCACGAGAATGAGAATTCACTCTGTTCACGTATCTTCGGTATCTTTTCCAAGTTCATTGTCCACAACGATGATATGGGCATGGCCTCGTGGAGTGGAGCGTCTTTTGAATTACCCGGCCTCTCATCCTAATCAGTGATCACTTGAGCTAGACTTATTTCCTATATACAGTGGTTGTGTAGTTTTGTTGCAGTGCTAACATGAAGTGCCAGCTGAAGAACATTTTTTTATATTTAACTCTTACAATTCACCAGCCTCAAGTTGGAGTTTCTCGTCATCGATGGTGTAAGTGTGTTGATACTTGATAGGGCTTCTGACGATGTTTTCTCAGCTACCAGTCTTAAGGAAAAACATGTTGGCTTACGATGGTGGTGGATGCATGTGTGGGTCACAAACTGAGGCAAGAGGAGATGTACAAACAACCAAATATAGTTTGGGTGGAGGTGTCCATGGCTCTTGGATCTACACGCATGTTACAGTGCAGCTGCATATGGGTGGTCTACAGTGCACTGTATATGGATGAGGTAGAGATTTATGGGTTCCTCGGTCTGCATAATAAGATCTTCCTAGCAAAATACCTAGGATTATCTTATCCCCGCAGGTTGAGGGGGGGTTTTTTTTTTGGTCCAGTGGAGGTGCTTTTAGAACTAGCAGTCTCAGTTTTGTAGTAGTGAACACGATGCATACACAGAAAAAAACTAGATCCTTTATATCACTCACATATAGTAATAATCTACGGACAAACATCAGATCAATAACATCAAATTCTATAAACTAACATGAATATTATCTGTGCTTGTGGAAAAGTGGAGACACAAAAATGCATAAAACCTTTTCTTAGTGGAATTTATGCAACGGTATTTGCACACGTAATGACAAAGGCCAGACATGGTGTAACAAATATATAGGCTAGGTAATATAATTAATATAGCTAGTCACTGCATTTGAGGCAAGGAGAATCAAATGAGAATTTTGGCCTGGCAAATGGCTTACAATGGCAACATCCGTTACTACAAATGCCAAATGCTCTTTGACAACACATTTTTTATTCTAGATATGGTACTGATATGTTCCACATTTTCTATCTCTAGATACAATATTTAAGGTATCTATGCAAAACAATTTCTAAATCTGTCTGGTACTGTATATAGTTGAAAACAGCTGGTTAAGAAGGCACCATGCGAGCTAGCTTAGCTTAGCTATTTAGGTTCGTTTTGGTGGAACATGTCCACCCAAGTAAAGTTCTCGACTCGATACGAGTATTCTACTAGATTTTTCTAGGATTTTGTGGGTCGCTACATCTATAATGTGTAATTCGAAAAAAAAAGAGGGAGAGAAGGCACTGTGTACCATAGAAGATAATAGCTACAACATCAGACTGCCATGAGATGACCAGATTTAACAATCTCAAAAATTGTACTGAAGATCTGCCTGGAATAAACTAGTGATCAACTCAACTAAAAATAAATAGAATCATAACTGTTATGGCCAGAACAAATTAGCGATGCTAAAACCAAATAATCTTGTAGCCAGCCATATTTCTTCTGGCTGAAACCAAACTCGTTGCTTACAAGTTACAAACAAGAATATATACTATTGCGGAGAGGGACTATCACGGATTCACGGTGATAAGCTAAGCAATATGCCCGACTACTCCTGACTTTTATTTGTTCAGATTAGTAGAGCTGCAGCTTGCAGGTTCTATTCGTTTTACACGATTCGTACTACTAACTTGTGACAATGAATTGAAGCAGGAGTAGCAGATACTAAAATGGTAGGAGGTATATGAAAAAGGGCATATGCTTTCGTTGGTGCAAGTTAGAGCTGTGCTTCTTTTTGGATTCTCCTATAGTGTGCTACTAGCTGCTGCATGGTAGGGCTTCATTAATTTGCGGTTGTTTATAGACGAAAGTGTTCAACAGGTGCAAAGCTTCTAGCTAGTTGCATGCGCACTATATACGCGTAGTACCCTGTGTTTCACGATCATGCCACATGAAAAGTGTATATATATCATGCATATATAATTCAGGCAGGCTCCATTCCAACTCGCCTTTTGACCTCGGTATAGCGACCCTTAGAGCTAGCCGTTCTTCAATGAATCAGATTAGTCATTGGAGGCCCTAGTTTCCACACAATTTGTTGGCTCACAGCTGCAGAGAATATTGTGACTTTATGCTTATGTGTAGTATTATGGCAGTGTTCGCTGGTCTGAACTGAAAAGTTCAGCCGGCTGGTTCCCCTCCCATTCCACTGTTCATCAAACCAGCCAACAGTGTTTCTCTCTCACAACAATTCAGTCGGAACAATGTTTTTCAGCCAAATTTTAAACCAGCAAACGGGACCTATATATATATTTGTGGGTCGCCCAAAAAATGCATAATATATTTGTAGAGGCTACAGGGGATTGGATCTTTTTAAAAAAAAATAAATAATAGTTGTAAGATGTGTAATGCAATGGCGAAATGCTTATTTATGGAGAATAAGGTGCCTCTATGTGGAGAAGATTCTGAGAATAAAGTCCCATGCCATTTGTGAATTGATGCTAACGAAAGCTATGTAATAGTTTAATTTGATCAAGTACGTTTGTAGGAAAAGAAGTGA